ACCGTCCATCTGTACATGCGCATACCACCGCACCCGTGGCTTCATCAGCACTGTTGACTAACGAGGCTTGCCTTCGCTTTCGCACAGCGCCACAGCGCATTCACATATATCGAGCTTTGAGGCATCTTGCCAGGACGAGAGGCTCCGGCTTGCGCCGGTCTTTCGCGCCGGGGGCCTGCGTCTGTGATATGTTGTCAGATCCAGGCTTTCATGGCGAATTAGCCGTTGAAGCCGTGACGCACCTCAGTCAACATGTACAGTGCCCAGCAACGTCCATCTAGCCTATCCAGTAGATAGGTTTAAACCCCGCTTTCAATGCAATCAAACCAGCAAGCCCAGAATCGCACGCACACATTTGAGGTAACCGTCAAGGAGAATGGTCATGCTTCCACTTGGAAACATTCTGGGCTGAGTGTCCCAAGTGATAGCCCATGGCAGTTGTACCTGGACATCCAGCGCGTACCAGTAAATCATAAATCGGCATAGGAACTTGATCGCTTCACCTTCGCCAGCCGCTGCCGCCAGCCCCTGATGCTGGCAGCCTGGATCGAATTTTCAGGCTGGGACGTATGCTCAATTTTGAAACGTCCGTGATTGGTCATAAATGCTGCGTATGCAAGTCATGGCCTATCAATACAGCTCGTACGATAGATGTAGTTTATTCATGTTGCCAGTGTTAGAAGACGCGGACTGTCTCTGTCGCAGGATATTGGCGACTTAAAAATCCGACACTTCATGTGGCCTGAGAAACAGCATCTGTTGACCGCCTTGTCCCGGACGAAATAGACGATGCCTGTCATAGTTGACACACTCGCATTTGACATTCGAGCGGAACATTCCACGCAACATTCGATGTGTCCGTGCTTTGGATATCCCAGTTCTGGGCCCCAGCTGCCGCCTTCGTCCGCTGCACCACGGGTTACATATGCAGGGCACAGCAGTGTGTCTATGATCGTGAGCCTACATCATGCCATGGACTATCCGGCACCCTAGACCATAATCTCGGTCGACCTGGCAGAATGCGTCTTAACATGGACTCCTCCCTGCCCCAGTCTCCACTGTCCCCGCCAGTCGGGAAACTCCAGGGTCTGAGCGCCGCACTGTGTCGCCTCCACGATTATGACAGGGGGGGGGCGGTCCTTGTCGACATGCAGCTGTTGAGGCCATTCGGACGAAGACTTTGACGCTGGAAGACAGGGCGAAGACCACTGCAAGCTCAGGTCTAGGGGGAAGATGTGTGAGAAGAATACCCCGTTGCAGTTTGGCGGAAACCGCGGTGCCTTGTCGGCCTGATGATGCCACCTCCATACAGTAGTCCACCTTGTCGCCCTGAAATGGGCGGAGTTCTTTACGTCGGACTTGGCAGGGGCGCACGGCCCGTTGAATGCTCCCAAAAGATCCGACCAGCGGTGGCACGGCCGCTCGGAACATGGATTTACGACAGATGACTCGCATCATTTCAAGGCCTGCTGGAAGTATGTGCTGTGGCAGTGTGCAAGCCTCGATGCTGCCTCGTATTAGCTCATCAAGTCTATTGTACGCGATGCTTAGCGGGATAGAAATCTCCCATGCTTACGACTGCAATCAATACAGTAAGTGGCCTTGTTCGACATGTAAATGTCGACTAGCGATTCAAGGGAAGCTGTCGATCTTTCGGGTTCGACCTTGCTGTCATGGGAGGCCATACCCACCGTGGAAAGCTGTCCAGCATCATGTCTTCAACATCAACTTTCACCAAGCCAGAAAATCAGTGACGAGCAACGGCTATCATACTTCCACGTTCCAAAACTGTACCATTACACCTTGTACACTTGGGTTGGCAGCTTGTGCGCTACTGCCACATCTATAGTTCATGCCGCCAGCCGGCCGACCGGGTCCGGCTATCTAGCTCCAACACCGATGAGGAAAAAAGAAACCATAAGGGAAAGGGGAGGCGGCATCCACATTCTTTGTTGCTGAAGAGGATTTCTGGGCATCCGTTACTCCCGGGAGACATCACGGCCAAACGCCTTGGACTTGAGCCAGTCTATGATGACGAGGAGGCGATTACGAGCTGCGAATGTGTGAGCAAGTTGGAAGTTGGAGGTAGTGCTGGTAGGAAGGATCACTTACTGCTGAAGCACATCGAGAGGTAAGCGCTCCTCCAGAAGAGGAAGGTCAAGCTGCCACCGCTGGCAATGTTGCCGTTCCACCAGCTGACGTCGGCGACAGCCTTCTCGCTGCCAATATAAGCCAGGCTGCCCTGGTGGGTGTAGTGGAAGGGCTTGACGTCCTTGATGCGGCGGAGCTGGCGCTCGCAGGCCTCGATCTCGCGCGCCGCCTCGGCCGAATTGCCAGGCTTAACGTTGAGGTTGCTGCTGAGCTCACGCACCTTGCTCTCGAGCTCCTCGGTCTTGGCCATGTTGTTGAACAGGCGGGCGAGGAAGCTGCCCTCCTGCCCGGCGACCTGGGCAGTAGGGGCGTAGCCGGCGACAGCGCAGTCACCAATAGCCCAGATGTCGCGGGTGCCCTGGACGACGAGGTACTCGTTGACGGCGAGACCGCGGCGAGAGTCCTTCTGGGCGGGGATCTTGCTGATGAGCTCCTTAATAATGGGGCGCACGGCATTGCCAGTAGCCCAGACGAGGAGACCGTAGGGGATGACGATGGTCTTCTTGGAGCCGTCGGGGTTAGTGCCGACAGCCTCGACGGTGGTGTCGGTAACGTTCTTCACCATGGTCTTGGTCAGGATATCAATCTTCTCCTCCTTGAATGTGTTCTCAGTGTACTCGATCAGCTGCTTGGAGAAGGACGGAAGCACATTAGGGAGGGCCTCGATCAGGGTGACTTTGAAACGATCAGCAATATCGGGCACGAGACGCTTGATGTCATCCTCGAAGAAGTCCTGAAGCTCGCCGGCAAACTCAACACCGGTGGGGCCGCCGCCAACGACAACCATGTGCAGCAGGCGGTCGATTTCCTCGTTGGTCTGACCCTTGAAAGCGGCGGTCTCGACACAGTCCATGATTTTCTTGCGAATCGACTGAGCGTCGTTGATCTCCTTGAGGAAGCACGAGTTCTCGCGGACACCAGGAATGCCGAAGGTGGCGTTCTCGGCGCCGACGCCAATGACAAGCATATCGTAAGGGATCTCAGTCTGGGAAGTGGCACCCTTAACCTCGGAGTTATCGGTAATCATGACAACCTTGCGTTCCGGGTCGATGGAGGAAGCCTCGGCTTCGTAGAACTTGACGGCGGCTTTCTTGTGCTGGAGAATGGCGCGAACAGGCTCCATGATGGAACGGTGCTCAATCAGACCCGTAGTGCACGAAGGCAGCAGGGGCGTAAAGAGGAAGTAGTTTCGGGGCGAGATGACGATGACATTGTAGTTTTCGGTATCGAGCTTCTTCAGGGAA